AGTCAGACCTTACTGTCCTAATGAAATCATTAAAAATTAAGGCATGATCATATTTTATTGTGGTAAAATAGGCCTCATCTAGAGGCCTTTGCCTTTCTTAAAAGCCCCTTCTGATACCAAATGACCAACTAGAAGTCAAGTTTTTATTGGTTGTTCCTAAAACTTGGATGGACGGCAACACTTTTGTCAAGTATTGTATAGCATTACATGCATGTAAATATATGTTGTTATTTTTTTTTTATGGAACTAGTGAGTTATACTAACAATATTACCTATATTAAAAGGTAAAACTCAATTAATAAAGTTTGTAGCTTTACAATAATCTACTAAAGATTCAAAACTATATTAAAAAGCAAGAAAATATGAAGAAATTTGCCATTGTGACATTTTAGCTATTCAGTTGAAGACTGAACGAAACTTTTTGTAGTTCCTTGAAATTAATTGAATTACTTAAAGGTGTAGTTCACCCCAAAAAATGACAATTCTGACATCATTTACTGTATTCAACTTGCTCCAAACCCATTTGAAGAATGAAATTCATACATATTTTCAGCTGCTTAAGTCTGAAGCTGGGCTTAGATTTGCACACTCACACTTTCTAATTAATATTAAAATGTTTTTGCTTATTCATTCAATTTATTTCGGCTTAGTCCCTTTATTAATCAAGGGTGACCACAGTGGAATAAAAAGTAAAGTATAATTGCTAAAATAATAAAAAAATCTTGTTTATTTGAAATTTATTTGAAAAAAGTGCTCAGATTATATTTTATTATATTTTTAAATATTACAAATAAGTGAAACTTATTGGTTTGAAGCATAATGTCACAGTATAAAACCAATAAATGAGTATTTTCCGGCCAAATTGTGATCTTTATCTAGTCTTTTAATATGTATTCAAGGGATAATTTATTAATTCGTTAATTTATTTGTTAACACTCACACTTTCTAATTAATATTAAAATGTTTTTTTGCTTATTCATTCAATTTATTTCGGCTTAGTCCCTTTATTAATCAAGGGTGACCACAGTGGAATGAACCACCAGCATATGTTTTACACAGCGGATGCCCTTCCAGCTGCAACCCAGTAGTGGGAAACACCTATACACGCTCGCATGCGCACACATACACTACAGCCAATTTAGTTAATCAATTCAGCTATTGTGCATGTGTTTGACAGGGAGAACATGCAAACTCCACACAGAAATGTCAACTGGCCCAGCTGGGACACGAACCAGCGATCTTCTTGCTGTGAGGCGACAGTGCTAACCTCTGAGCTACTGTGTTGCCCTTTTTTTCTAATTCTAAAAAGAGAAATCATATTAGCAGCCAATGACTTTCAAAGTACAACATTGTTTACTGTCAATTAAATAGTCCAAATGTTGTTGTGAAGACATACTTGCATACCGATACAGACCGAATATTTAAAGTAGCGTGGTAAACACAACCTAGAGACACATTTTACAGACTGAAACCAACATTTAAAAAAATTATTTTAATTTCGTGGGACCTTTAAATGTCTTACTGGTAGACTCTTATTCCTCAATCGTGTGTATAATTTGTAAATGCAGGATGTTCTGGCCGGCTGTGTGGAGGTGCCCAGTCTGTCTCCTCTGTCAGGGCAGATCCTGAAGAGAATGAGTCCTCGAATGCTGCTCAAGAACTGCTCTCGATCCTCATCCGTCCGTGATACGAGTCCCGGTCTTTCTGAAGAAGCTGCCGTCTGCAGATCAGCTCCCATCAGCCCCCGACTGAAGCGTTCGTCCTGCTCTCTGCCTGCAGTCTCCATCCAAACTGAGGAGGAGGAGGAGAAGGAGAAGGAGGTGACCTTTCACTTGTAGTGGCCTTTGGAGGCACTTAAAATCAGTTGAAGTCAAAAGTATTGTGAAATTTAAAATATTTCCCAACAGATAGATATATTTTGTTCAACACATTTTTAAAATAATAGTTTTAATAACTAATTTCTGAGAACTTTTTATTTGGGTTATTTCATCCATGATGGGAGTAGATAATAATTTATGAGTTATTTTGTAAGACATTAGTTTTCAGCTTGAAGGTGACCTAGTATGCCCCTTTTTACAAGATGTAAAACAAGTCTCTAATTTGCCTAAAGAGTGTGTCTGAAGTATGTCTGAAGAAACCCGAAAGTATTGCCTGAGTCTCACAGGAATGTTGTGTGCTTGGCTGTATATCTTATCAGCGAAGAGAAAGCGACACAAATTTATAATTTCACCAACTTCCGAGTGACCCGAAGGTCCTTTCTGAATGAATGGTGAAAATAAAAAGTGACATCAGAGCTCATTTTCAGCTAAGATAAGGGAAATGGAGCTAGGTATTTAACGTTTACTTTCCCAAACACACGGTTTAGATGCCATTTATCAAACTCAAGCTAACGAACTGATTCTTTCACTATAGACTTGTGACCATACTGCATTTCGGTACTAAAATAAATTAAAAAAAGGTGATTTCCTGCTAACATTTAAGCTCTGTTGAACGCAACACCACTGATTTGCCATAGTATTCAACAGTGCTCAACAGAAATGACTGTGATTGGCCGTGAAGGTCATCAGTTCACCACACTTCACCGATGTTTACCAAGTGCAAACACAGATGAGCGATCTTTGAAGCTTTAAATGCTCCAGTATCCGAGTCTACCATCTAAACAGTGATTTTTAATTAAATGAATCTGATTAAGGTGTTGTAAATAAATAAATAAGTAAAATACAGAGAACCCAGTCCAGGAGAATTGAACAAGCAGAAGAATTTCTTTATTAAGACATGTTGGTTAATCTGCATCATAAAACGTCTTCAAGAAGTTCATGTGTCTGCAGAGCCTATTGGAGGTCTGCAGTCTGCGAGTTTTATCACAAGTCTGAATCAAGACAAAGATATCCTGTCTATGTGTTCTTAGGAGGAGGGAAGTTGGCTAAACAAAGCATGCAAGTTAAGCTTTGGAGTCAGCATGATAACTGTCATATAGGTGTTAGAAACCGGCCCAGCTACTGACCACACAAGTTAATCAACAAAAGAGTTTTTTTTTGGCCTGAAAGTATCACCCGAAGACAAAGGCAAGGTCGTTAATAGCCTGCCGGTAGCATTTGCATCACTTTGGCTTAAGGCTGATTTATACTTCTGCGTCAAACGCCGGCGTATGCTACGCCGCTGACGCATAGCTCTTCGCCGTGGCTGTCGGCGTCGCTGATGTGCACCTCTCAAAAAATGTAACTACACGTCGCAATGACCCATAGCACAAGCTCTGTGATTGGTCGGCTTGGTAGCGCTGACGAGTTTGGGCGGGACCGAGAGCCACGTGAATGGCGCAAGCCTGATGGAGCAATTGTTTACAAGTGTGGAGTCCCGTGAAGGAGCTCCGGATGGAAAGTTTTTTTTTGTGTTTACCTCATTTTTAAAGTCAGACATTTGTCATTATCAGATTTCTTCTTTCATTATACTCAACATTATATAAGTTAGAGTAGCTATACTGACACAGTAAACGTTTATTTTTACGCACAACGCTGTGTTAGCTACAAAAAAAAACAACAAATCAAATGCTTGTGGTAATCATAACCATAAGATGCGATTTGATCACTTAAGATGTGCGCACAGGCTTCACTTCCTAGTGCAGCTCACGTGTGATTTCCCGTCCGCAAATACATCATTACATGAAGACAGAAATGACATTTCTGGGTGAATTGTACCTTATAAATACAGTATGTGACACTTTTAACACCATTTGAAGGTGTCAATGTTGTGAATGACTGTACGACTCCTGCAACCACCTTTAAGCTTCTCTTCTGACCTTGAAAATATAATTGGCTGAATCATAGAAAAGCTGAATTAAGATCGTGTGTAGGGTCGAATCGAGATTGTGATCTTTTTTCGATTAATCGTACAGCTCTACTGTATGGGTAAAAAATTATGACATTGTAACTAGGTTAATTTCGATTTTAAATAATTTAAAATTTAAGAAAATATTAATTGAATATTTTGGCCTTTGTTCTTTGTGTGTTTGGGCTGGTTTTGAACAGTTTTTGGGCTGAAAAAAGTCAACTATATCTGGGAACAGAGTCTGAAACTGACCCTTTCAGGCTTTGATCCTAATTGTGACATCTTGGTGACTGTCGCTTTAAATTCTAATGAGATTGTGCTCTTTTCAAAAGAGGGTGGAGCTAGAAAGGCCTGCGTGTCAGCATAGTGGCAGACCACAGATGGTCACTAATCCGAGGGTTTGTTTGCTAAGAAAAATGTTTTAATTTCTATTTATTTATTTGTTAATTTGTTTATTTTTTGAGTTATTGCTGGTGATTTTGGAACCTATGTATGTGTTGGAACTTTAATGCAATTTTTTTCCCTCTTGTTTTATTAACATCAGAAAGCAGAAGTGGTTGCGGAGGCTCCTGCAGTGAGTCCTGAAGCATCGGTCAGTACTCCTCCGGCAGTCTCAGTCCTGTCTCCCAGAGCCACGCAGATCTCTGGTTGCATCCGCATGTGTGAACAGAAACACAAGGCCAAAGCCAAGGTACTATGATTTAATCAGTAACCCTGAGTGATTATTTCTTTTTTTTTGAGTACACAATTATTTTTAAAAGTGTGGCCCTGTCGCCTCACATCAAGAAGGTCGCTGGTTCGAGCCCAGCTGGGTCAGTTGGTGTTTATTTTTAGTTCATCTCTGTAAATACATTAACTAATGAAACCCATCATGAAGTGTGACCAGTTTTTGTTTTAGCAAAAAAGTTACTATATTTTTGATTAAACATCTGCATTTTTGGAAAACAGAGCACTTTTTTTCATAAACGCATGTGTGTTTTCTGTGTCAGATGGAGCTGAGTCTCAGACAGGAGCAGCAGGAGCGTCTGGTGGCCACCGTTGCCAACCATGAGTCCGAGCAGCTGAAGCGCTTCGAGGAGTTCATGGAGCTCAAGCAGAGGCAGGAGCACCAGAGTATTAGAGACACCAATGAAAAAGAGTATGTGACCTCCAAACTATTCATCCTTGGGTTACAATCATGTACAGAGTTTGTTTTAATCAATGTTTTGTGTCTGAAGGGCGCAGGAGAGTCTCGGCCGCCAGGAGAAGCTGAGAGAGGAACACAGGCACAGAATGAAAGTGAGTCTTTGAATAAATCATTCAGCATGAGTTCATTTAACTTAAAGTCCCCATGAACTTATAACAATGTTGTATAGATGTTAGTATCAGTTTGTTTGTCTATAATCACATTTAGAACATATAGGAGGGTGTCCCGCTGGGTCTTTACAGTTAAACTCCGGAGACCCGGTACCGGGTCCGTGATGTCATTGACTTTCGCTTTAGATTTAAAGGGCTAGCATTGCACCAGACCTCCGTAAGTGGTTTTGTTTGAAAGTGTAGAATCTATATTTTATGCACATTTGCATCACTTTGGTTTTTATTCTACTGTACAAAAGTTATTTACACTTAAATACACAGTATTTTGGATACCTGAGCTGGGTATTGAACATTGGTTTGTTTTCATATTTTTCATTAGACACATGTACAAGTTATAGCTCAAATGAAAGCTCTTGCCGGTGCTCATACGGTTCTAGCATTCCTTTTACTGAATTATATTCACATATCAAACAGTTGCCGCATGAATCGCAGCGTTTCCATAGCGCAGAAGTGAAAACAATACATTTATGATCAATAAGCAGCCCCAGATAGCACAGACAGCTGTCATCTCTCACCTTATGCTGTGCGCTTCAGGGCCATTCTCCTGTGTTTTTGAGGTGATGTGCATAAGTAATCCTTTAATGTGTCTGACGTGATCCAAACACAGTGAATTATGTTTGATCAAACAAAAGAATAGTGAAATATGAAAACAATGATCGATCCCTGTGGCTTGTACAGCACCTCTCATCAGTTGGAATACAATAACTTTTGCATAGATTATGGTGGAGACATTTTTCTTTTTTCCTATGATTACAGACATGTGCAGGAAACACCTAAATTAATTACAGCACGCTAGACCACACACAACCTAAAAGGTACACTTTCAAATGTGAGTTTATGAAAAAAAAATACAAAAAGCGCCTCTTTTTTTAGGTGTTTATTATAACACAGACAACATATACAGATATTTTAAAAACTTTAGATAGTGTTTTATGAAAATTCAAAGGGATTTCTTTAAAATGAGACCAATTTTTTGCATTTAATCCTCTGCATCTGGATTTGGGAAGCTTTTAAAGTTGGGTAGACAAAATCCATGCAGAAATCCAAAAATAACAGCAGAGTTTAATTGGTTAAAAGTTGATAAATCAATTATGAGAAAATTAAGGAATTTAAAGGAATTAAAAAGTCTTGATCGTGTTTTTATGAGGTCTTAAATTTTGTTTAAGTGATGTTCAATGTGTTTGACTCCAAAAAAGCACATATATATCCCCCCTCCCCCCCTCCCCCCCTAATATTAACAACGGCGTGCTCGATCAACACTATTGGTTCGGGCCTGGGCGCATCCGGCCAAGCTCCTTCGTCCGGGTGAAGCCACGTAATTTGCTACAAGCAAAGGAAGATGATGTGACCCTCTCCACATGTAGAGAAACCATAGAGCAAAACAGATAGCAAAATGGAAAAAATGCAAGTTTGCGAACTCCTTGTTGGAGAAAGACGAGTTTAAGCAGTGGCTGAGGTCTGTCGCTGAAAACAGCCGCGTAATTTATTCTTTCAAGCTTTGCTTCTTCCGAGCTTATCTGAGTTCTGTTGCACGGTTGTGCTGTATTAATTCATTTAACTACAACTGTTTATTAAATTAATGGTTTGATACTGATTAGAACTTGAAGTGGCGATGAGGTCTTAAAATATTCCAAGAAGGTCTTTAAAAAGGTATTGAAATTACCTTTGGGATTCCTGCATATACCCTGATATAAACATTCAAAGTTTGCAGTTTGTCATTTCCACCTAAAGGGATCAATTATTTGATCCATAACCCCTAATTCAGTGTGCCTCACACAGGTGAGTGGGCTTGACAAACCACCTGTAGAAAACACTTATTTATCTCTGATACTTTACCCGACACTTGCACCTGTATTGCACATTTGCACTAGACACTTCTCTAACAGCACAAAAATATGTTATAATTTATAAAGTGAGCTTTACACAGTTGAGTGGGCTCAGAGCTTAAATTTTGCCGGAACACTCCGGATCCAGCACCTCTGAAATCTGATCTGGCACTTAATTTTACCAATCCCCCTCCTCAACCGCCCCCCTCCCCCGTCCACTGTTAACTTTCACTTTTTTCTATTTCATCATACCTTGGATGACTAGGGTCGCGCAGATTTCTCTGCCTTTGCCATGTATCTTTCCTCTAACGTTAACTCTGTCTTGTCTTTGAGGTGCCGAACTCTGCTGGCGAGAGAGGCAGAGTGCATTCACTCTGCTCCGCACTCAACTACAGTTTTTTTAATAACCAAACGTCTCCGCGTTGTGCGACACGACGCATCAATGAAATTCGTTGCCACCGCTTTTAGTAATCAATTTGAATCGATTTAATCGATTCGTTGTTGCAACCCTACTAAACATTTGAGTCTTTAATCTAGTTTTGTAATGTAAATGTAAATTTAATGTGTATTTATATAGCGCATTTATTGTGTATGGCCATACACCCAAAGCGCTTCACAATCATGAGGGGGGTCTCTCCACACCACCACCAGTGTGCAGCATCCACTTGGATGATGCGACGGCTGCCACAGGACAACGGCGCCAGTGCGCTCACCACACACCAGCTATTGGTGGAGTGGAGGGACAGTGATAGAGCCAATTCGGTGGAAGGGGATGATTGGGAGGCCATGATCGTAAGGGCCGATAGAGGGACTTTGGCCAGGACACCGGGGTTACACCCCTGCTCTTTCATGAGAAGTGCCTTGGGATTTTTAATGACCACAGAGAGTCAGGACCTCGGTTTAACGTCTCATCCGAAAGACGAAAAGTTCCGAAAGTTTTGAACTGAGAGAGTGTGTCTGAGCTTCGCACATTATCAGGAAGGCTAGTCCGGAGTTTATAAATGAACAGGATCAACGTCCTTTAGTAGACTTTGCTATTATGGGTACTACAAGAAGAGTTTTGAGATCTTAAAGATTATGCTTATGGTAACTAATAACTAGGCCCACACGGAATCTGCGCGCGCAGAATTTCGCAGATTTCTGCCAATATTTAGCACATTATTAATTCAGTTTATTTACTTGAGTAAATGTGTAAATCTGAATTAAGTCATTTTTTATTCAGTAATTTATCACTTTTTATTTAATATATTAAGGTGTAAGTTATGATACTCTGCTGGATACTCCCAAAATAATTCCGCAGAAATCCGCAGATTTTTACCAAAATTCTGCGCAGAAATAGCAAAAAACGTCCGCAAATTCCGTCTGGCCCTACTAATAACCTTACCTTTTCTGATTTTGATTGTAATACATTAATGTGCACCTTTTGTAAAGCTTCTTGAAACAATTATTCTGAAAAGCGCTACTCAAACTTGAATTGACTGGGTCATATGCACAGCTAGTGTTTTATTAGCCAAAGATAAATGTCTGGGGAAATGCGACTGTTTTCAATTTCATAAGGTTTCTTTTTTTGGGTTGATGTTGTAATGTAATTAAAATACAATTAGTTAAATAAACCTAAGCATTCATATAGGTATTCAAGCGTAAAACGAGATGAAAGACATCAGGAACAGCGCCATCAGAATCAGCAGGCGAGCGCAGAAACTGCATTGAACATACTGTGGTAAAATAAATGTTCATATTTTAAAGGGCCATGAAACCCCCTCGTTTCAGCAGGGTGTTATTGCACTTCTACTTTGGATAAAGTAAGAAAAGTGGGCGTGTCCAGCTCTGTTTAGGGGGGAGTGTCGGAGGAAGAAAAGAGGCATGGTGTGGGAGTGTCTATTTGGGCGCGCTAACTTCCAGAGTCAAAACACACACACACACACACACACACGGGACAAAGTGACTGTGTTTACATGGACATCTGTAGTCGAATTATTTGCCAAATTATTAAATGGTGGACTTTAACTGCAGTTTGGCTCTTTCATTCAGGAAATTCATTCATGCCCCTCCCGACAAACGAGATATTTGATTCGAGGCGCTGCTCTAAGCGTGTATTTTTCATGCAATGTTTGATACCGCACGGCGAATGAGAGAAAAAAACCCAGCATTTCCCGGAAACTTAGATGCACTCGGCAGATAGCGTCAGAAAGCCGCATGTGTTATTCCGGTCACAAAATGCGGTGAAAATCCTACACGAGGTTAATGTTTGGTTGTGGTGCTAACATGTTTACACTCAGTGCAATAGTTAACTTAGTTCGATATGAACAAACTGAATATACAAAGAGCACCGGTCGCTCACTTACCAAATCTGTAGAGACAGGACAATCAGCAGCAACTAGAGCCGCGTCTTTATTAAGAGGAGACTACAAGCGAATCCGGATCTCAGCGTTTGCAGATGAGAACAGCTCTCAGGTAAACAATAATCCTCCTTACACACGTAAGTTATTGTTGTCGAGCGTCGCGTACACTGTTAATCCACACGTGACTCCAGCTGCGCTCTCACAGAGAGAAAATGAAAACAAAACTTAACGGCAGCAAACTATAAAAGCAACACTTCACGCTTGTTTTGTCAACACAACGTGGCGTCTCTGTCGTCTAAACACTGTCAGTAATGAATATTAATGAAGTTGCACAATAGAGCGCGCTGATTGGTTTGAACCAAGCCTTACTCATGCATTAATGCAACACACTGTAAGATGTAATAAGACACACTCTGGCACAGACGTCCAGTCTGCACACTGGAATACACGCTATTATGTCATGACCGTGACGCAGCTTCAAAAATTTGTTTCAAACGGAAGTACGAATTTGCTTGAAATAATACAAAAACAACCAATTTACACTTTTTAGTGAAATATAGGTGTCCTAATAGTGTTTTTAGCAGTGTGGGAAACAAATACGACTGTCAACAGCTCAAAAAATGTGTTTTGGTGTTTCGTGACCCTTTAAAGAAATGCCGGGGAAAAATGGAATTTAATGCAGTGATTCTTGTCCGGTCTGAGACCCACTTTATATCGCATATCAATCAGGCAGTGAAGATCACAGATTTTTAAAGAAATCAAATCTTAAACGTGGGGATTTTGTAGTGGCATGACAGTTCACCGGAAGCGATTGGGCCGCCTGACTGAAAATAAATAGTCATATACCACATTGAATTGTTTTGTGTGAGCAGATCCTGAACCTGCGTCTGCGTGAGATGGAGCAGCAGCGTCTGCGGGAGGTGGAGCTGGAGCGCCAGCGGCAGGTGGAGGGCAGAGAGCGGCACAGAGCCATTAATGCCATCCAGGAGGAGGTTCTGCAGCTCAACCGGCTCCTGCAGCCGCAGCAGAGCACACATGCGGAGGTGGAGCACGCGCCGTACATCACACGGGGCAACCAGCTCTGCTCACAGCTGTCTGAGGTGGTGCCGGCTGCAGCAGACGTGAGTCCACTTCTGACCAAGACAAAAATCTCATGTCTTCTCATGTCCTGATAATGACAAACAGTTAAAGACAAAATCATTCCCCCTTTTGTTGATTTATACAGTTTTTAATAATGCTTAATGAGATTTTAAAGCATAATAGTATAACTAATTACTAATAGTCTTTGCCATGATAGTTCATTTGCAAGACACTAGTATTCAGTTTAAAGGGCACCTATTATGCAACAGTCACATTTATAAAATTACATATTTAACCTGAAAACATTGTGCAATTCTGAGTGTGCCTCACACAGGTGAGTGGGCTTGACAAACCACCTGTAGAAACAATCTTTCGTCTCTCTGACACTTTTACACACACTTGCACCAGTTTTTGCACATTTGCACCAACACTTTCTTACAATCACTTCCTATCAAAAGATAATTGTGCATTAAGGATGTGTGCCTCACACGGGTGAGTAGGCTTGACAAACCACTTGTAGAAAAAAAATACTAACTAAAAAATAAAACTAACGCTTAATTCTCTGAGCACAAGCGATTCTTTTGTATACTTAGCACTTGTTCTGTTTATTGCCTCTTGTTGAATCACTGAATGCCTCATAAATTGTAAGGTACTTTGCACAAAATTGTCTACTAAATAAAAGAAATATTAATAAATGAGGAAATATTAGTAAAAAAAAAAATTTTCACAGGAGTGCAAAATATTTTACTTTTAACTAGGGCTGTCAGAATTAGCCCGTTAACACACGTGATTAATTTGAAATATTTAATGTGTTTAAAAAAAATAACGCAAATAACACAGTTGTAGTTTTTTTTATTTCCTGTTGTGGCCGACGTGTGTTCAGGGACGGTGCGTCCTTAGATGTGACCTAGGCGGCCGCCTTGGGCAGCAGAATGGTGAGCGTACCTCCCGGTCACTTTTTCACTTTTGGATTGAGGGCGGTGTGATTGCCGTTTGCCTAGAGCGCCAGTTCAGCTTGCTCCGGCCCTGCGTGTGTTTAACGTGCAAAGAAATTTGGATAAGACCAAGGACGCGCTTTTAGAAGGAAAGTTTCAGTATAAAACAATTAATGTTGCATCACCAGGCTATCCTGCGTTTCCTCCAGAGTTTCCTGCAATTTCGGATGTTTCAGGATCTTTAGACTTTAACTGCAGTTCAGCAGTTTACTCTCATTCAGCATATTTTCATTCAGGATGTTTTAATGTCATTTGAAAACGCATGGCTAACGGAAAGAAAAACCTCCGCATTTCAGGATTCGCGTGATCCTTTAAGGTAATCAAAAATCGCTGCTTACATGGTAGACTCTTAATCAGTATTATCTTAGTTGTAAAAGTGGAGTGTTGGTGTCCATGTAAATGTACTCAGTGAAAGTGCCGGATGATGTCGCGAGCTGTCAAAGACTGCCCTATTCGTCTGCCTTTAAGCTGCTTCCATGCACCCTCAAATGTTTCATTAAGTTTGACGTGTTTCCCCCCTACACGCAACTTTTGTAAAGTGACTGCTTTATGTTGCTGTCAGAATTCTTGCTTTTAAAATACAGCCGTACTTTAGAGCGCTTAGTTTAAGCAAATTTGATAAAAGCGATCATGCATGTTGATAAATCTGAAGGGATCCCTCGCTCACTGGGTGCGATGTACTGCGCGCGTTGTGTATGTAGGCGTGCGTGCGTGCGTGTGTAGTCCACTTAGAATCCAACATGGAAATCATGTTTGTTATTGGCATTGGTTGTTTGTTTTGAAATTCAAATGGCACTTACATGCCTGTTTTTTTTTCTGTAATAAATAAGGCATTTCATGATTAATCGTGATTACGTTAGTTACATTTTGTGAATTATCATGATTAATTACAAAAAAGTGTGATTAATTACATACATTTTTTTTATCATTTGATAGCCCTACTTTTAACTCTATCACCAAATAGTGCCTTTTTTAAATTTAACCAAATACTAATTAAAATACACTGTCTCTCTCTTTAATACACTCTCTCTCAAGTGCAAAGCACAGTTGAATGCCAAAGCATTTTAGAAATGTATGAAGTATGTAATATATTGACATCATCGAATTAATAAAATAATCAGCAACTGAGAAATAAATGACAGAAAAAGGAATAAAAACGGACAATATCTCTTAAGATAATACATGTTAAATCAGGCAAATGTGTTGGTTAACTATTACTAATGGTGTACATATATTTTGCAGCCAGTTTAGACTATTTTTTTTTGTCCTCTCCCTGTATATAGTAAAGTCTTTCTCAGTCATTTCGATTAAAGAATGAAATATTTCTTTCATTCAGGCTGCTGTCAGCTGCGAAGCCAAGCAAAAGTAGGGTTAAGTAAAAAAGTAATGCAAAAGCGCATACGAGGGGCTATGCAGTGGTTAGTGCTGTCGCCTTACAGCAAGTAGCTGGTTTGAGCCTCGGCTGGGTCAGTTGGCGTTTCTGTGTGGAGTTTGCATGTTCTCTCTGCATTCACGTGGATTTTCTCTGGGTGCTCCGGTTTCCCTCACAGTCCAAAGACATGCGCTTTAGGGGAATTGGGTAGGCTAAATTGTCCGTAGTGTATGAGTGAGAATAAGTGTGTATGCATGTTTCCCAGAGATGGGTTGCAGCTGGAAGGGCATCCGCTGTGTGAAACAATCAATTCAATTCAGCTTTATTTGTATAGCACTTTTACAATGTAGATTGTGTCAAAGCAGCTTCACATAGAAGATCATAGTAAATTGAAAAAGTGTAGTCCAGTTTTGAGAGTTTAAGTTCATTTTAGTTCAGTTCAGTGTGGTTTAATATTCACTACTGAGAGTTCAAACACTGAAGAGCAAATCCATCGATGTGTAGCTCTACAGATCCCGAACCATGCAAGCCAGTGGAGACATGGGTGAGGAAAAAAATTCACCAATTGGCTAAAGTGAAAAATGAAAAAATCTTGAGAGAAACCAGTCTTAGTTGGGCACGACCATTTCTCCTATGGCCACACGTCTTGTGCAGAGCTGCAGTCTAGGCGCCGGAGGCTGGAGAATACTGGATGTCTGTGAAGACTCGTCTGTCCCTGGAGTGTCACAGGAATCAGTCTCATGCTCTCCACTCCTCCGTGACCACCACAACAGCTGCTCAGTATACGGCCTGGTCCAGGATTATGGAAACCTTGGGATCATCTCGTTGCTGGTCTTGAATCGAATCAGTGGAGCTGCATAGTCTGAGGGCCTCGGGATGAGTATCCGCAGGTGGAAATAGAGAATAAAGAGAATAATTAGCGTAGCTGCTGTTTATAGAGTAAATAAACAAGATGCAGAAACCTATGTGGAGCACATTCATGTATCATACTGCTAAGTGATGCACTGAGTGTATGCTTTACTAAAAAGATCTCTTTAATCTGGTTTTGAACTGCGAGAGTTTGTCTTAGCCTCGGACATTATCAGGAAGGCTATTCCATAGTTTAGGAGCCATAAATGAGAAGGCTTGACCTCCTTTAGCTGTTTTAGGTACTACCAGAAGCCCTGAGTTTTAAGATCTTAAAGCGTGGGTTTGATTGTATCGAGACAGAAGGTTGGTTAGATAAACAGGAGTTAGATTATTTAAAGCTTTATAGGTAAGAAGCAATATTTTAAATTCAATACGAAACTAACAGGCAGCCAGTGTAAGGAGGATAACATTGGGGTGATATGATCATATTTTCTAGACCTGGTAAGAACTCTGGCTGCTGCATTTTGTACTAGCTGAAGTTTAATAGAGGATGCTGGGCAGCCAGCAAACAGAGCATCACAGTAATCCAGCCTAGAAGTCATAAAAGCATGGACTGGAAAAACATGTGCTGGATAAGTTGGCGGTTCATTGGGTCTGTGAGATTACCTGTGGGAGTGTTGACAAGTCTTGCACACACAGAATGAAACGGGTAAATGAGAGAAGATTTTCCTATACTTAATCGATCACAGATGTTTGGTTATATTGGGCGGATACAACAAAGTGTAAAAGAAAAAAAAAGTGAACCCTAGATATACTTGAGCGGCCGTTAATATACCTGGACGGCCTGTCTAAGGCCCCGTTTACACTAATGCATTTTAGTTTGAAAATGCATAAGTTTTGCTACGGTTACGCCAACCGTCCACACTACGCCGGAGTTCTTGAGCGCTGAAAACGGAGCGTTTCGAAAACGCTGGAGAGGCCGTTTTCATACTGAAACGCTGCTGCTCCGTCTCAGTGTGGATGAGCAAAAACTGAGACATCTGAAAACGGAGGCAGGGCTGCTGACATTCACCTCTCTGATTGGGGCTTTTTCCTGAATATTAAGTAGCCTAACACACACAGTTGAGTCCTGCATCTTCTCCGTGTAAGTTCACACTTCGCAAGTTTGATCAAGGCTGCATCTCTTCTTTTCAGTTTGATATGGAAAACAGACTATACCGAGGACACGGGTAAATCTTCAAAGGGAACAGTGCACTTTATAACTTCATTCACATCACCCTGGCTACAATGTTTCACTTTCTCAACAATAAAATGTACACATGATATAAGGAACTGCCTATTTTCATTTTATTATTAGCAACTTAACAGACAGCAGAAATGTTGAGGCGTCGTGCTGCATTTATGAGCGTCATCTTCACTGTGTGGATATTTATAACAAAACGGAGCCGATAACAACTGTCTCCTTTCAATTTCAGTGAAAATACGAAACACACCCTCTCTTTTGCTGAATATCAGTTTTAATAATCGATAATGGCCATTATAAAAGTATAACATACAATAAGTTTATACATTATAGGAAATAAAGGCAAGCGATCAGTCAATATACAGAATGTAGGCTACGTAGTTACATTAATCATTAACTTATCTTTGCGCTTAGCCAAAACACGTTACCTGAGAACAAGTAATAGATTCCAATGACCAAAGTCAGGGAATATGTCGATAGATAAAGACAACAAGATGAATAAAATATCCCGTTTAATAAATGTAGTAAGATTGGATCCAGCGGGAGATGCTTGATGAGAAGTCCGACTAGCAGAGTTCTAATCTGGGTAGATGGGCTGCAGCGCTTGCCAGAGAGTGTGTGTGTGGTCACGTAATGTGCGTTTTCAGCGTTTTGGTGTGGACGGAGAGCAGTTCAGAAACGCTGGGTAAAACGCAAGTGTGGACGCGGATCGTTTTCATTCTAAAACGCCGTTTTAAAACTAAAACGCACTAGTGTAAACGGGGCCTAAGTAAAGTCTATGTGTGGGAAGCACTGATCTATGGTCACTTTATTTAGAACTTCTGGGCAAAAGTTTTATTAAAAATGTAGAAATATTAAATAAATTTTAATGGAATTTTAAGTACTTTTCAGGAACTTTGTGATTACAGGCACAACATAAAACATTGCTTAATAAAAAGTAAACATTTGAGCTCATTTTAGCTCATCGTCCAAATGTTGTTACCGTATTACCATAAACATAACAGGACACCGCAAAATAAACAGTATGAAATGATAATATGAAAAAATGCTTTAAAAAGTAATTTTAAGTTGAGGCACACACCAGATGCATGAATGTGAAATGTGAATTGCCTTTCTTTTGCAGGATCAGTTTCCCAGCGTGGAGGATTTGAGTGTGGCGGAGCGAGCTCTACAGGAAATGAGGTCATTGGTCCGAAGCCTGCAGGAAGCAGTTTCGCAGGCTGCTGAGAGGAAGAAGAAGAAAGAACAGGAGGAAGAGGAGGAGAAGAGGAGGCAGGAGCAGCTGAAAGCCCAGCAAGAGGAGCAGAAGAAGAGCGCTGCACTGTCGGCTAAAGAAAAAGCCAAAAAAGAGGGTGAGCGAGCAAGTTAATGCTTGTAAAAATGCTTTTCAAACCTTGCTTGCTTTCTTATTTGGACAGCAAAAGATCTATTTTTTTACTATTATTTACAATTACAAGACCTTTTATTTTAATATTTTTACAAGATGTGAAAAAAAAGTCTCTGATGTCCCTAGAGTGTGTACCTGAAGTTCAAAATACCCCACAAATATTGTTTTCAAACTCTCTAAAACTGACCCTTTTAGACTTTGATCTTAATTGTGGCGTTTTGGTGACTGTCGCTGTAAATTCAAATGAGATTGTGCTCTTCGAAACATGACTATCGTTATCTGTGTTGTTGGAATATCAAGTCAATTCCATGCGTGTTCAATAAGAAAAGGTCTGGAGAGTGTTTTCTTCAATGTCAAAAATATTAGTAATTTATTAGATACAAATGAATAATTCGATGACAGAGCTTTGGGTTACGTTACCCCAATGCAATACAAGAATTACATTCAAGAGGTTCGCAACTAACATGCATTTCCTGACTCCAGCATATATACACAACTGATATTAACAGGTGGAGTTTTGGTGTAACGTCACTTATCAGTCATTCTGCAGTGCTTTGGCTCTTATACCCCCAGACATACTTCCTCTTTCTGCAACCCTTCTCTACATACCAGAACTAAACAATTACGTGCATCTTAAATATATTTCACAACTTCTTCAAGCATCATGACAACTTGTGACATGTCTAAACAGCAGTCTGGAACAACCCTAAATTTATTCTTTAATATATTTCCTCTGGTCAGCAGTTCCTCTAAAAGTATGCAGCACAGTAAAAAAGACGAAGTGTGCCAGGTCAACATGTGCTATTATACAAAAGTAAAAGATTGATTAATCTGTTGTTAGTCTAAACATTTTTCTAATAAAAATACAGACACAAAAGTAATAAAAAATAAATTCATTTTTTGCTACAGTGTGAAAAGTGAAAATGTGTGCATCAGTGTGTGAGAATCCGTCAGTCTATGGAGACTCCTGTCACTTAGTTTTTTTTTTACTTCATCTAAAACTCTTCTATGCTGTGTTCGAACCAGATGCGAACAAAGCGTCAAGCGCAAGTGATTTACATGTTAAGTCAGTGCAAAGTTTGGTCATTCACATGAATGAAGCAGCATGAGTTGAGCATTTTGCACATTTAAAGCGCTTAACGAGCAAATCGCTCGAGTTGGAAAATCTTCATTCACACCACGTTAACCAATCAGGAGCTTGCTATTGCCTATTGTTGGTGTCCCAGGGGAAATCCTTATGCCAACACGGCAACAGTTCATCAAATTGGGCTCAGCTCAGTCTGAAGCACCGCTGAAAGCCTCCATCATCCAGGTATAGTTTCTGAAGGAGTTGATGAATTCACAGAGCTGCTGCACCTCTGAAAGGATCTAGTGGACTCAGACACGGCGCCGAACGAATCTATGCTGTTTTTCAGCCTTCTTAAAGCACATAAACACAGCTACTCTCTCAATATAAGCCATGTTAGCCAGAAGCCCTGCCCATGCTGCGATTTCATGTCGACTGTGAAGTGAATTTGGCCCGAGAATGAAGTGACTAAATTTTCACATGTCTATTTACATGCAAATAGTGCAATTTATTTGTGCGTGCCGCGTCTATTGTGAACACAACATGTATCGCAGGCATTATCTTCAGCAGCTCAAAATTAAAATGATGGAAGGCTGCTTCTTACTCTGGGATGTTTATGCTAATGAGAAAGTGATGGTCCCTAGTGGGCGGGGCTTTCCCCCTCTGACGGCACGGGGAGAATGTCAATCAAAGTGTTTCTGCAGACTGTTTTCATCATGTGATTATAAATAAACAGATTTAATTAATTTGAACCATTAGAGGCTGGCTATATTCAACACTGATTCCACATAATGCGGTACTATTAGTAAATATTGCAAAGCCTTCCTGTAAATCTATAGTAAAGGGGTCATTAACTGAGAAACCAGACTTGTTTTAGATCTTGTAATAAAAGCTCATCGTACTATAAAAACATACTGTACATTTCAGAACTGAACACTGTGTCTTCTCTAAAATCAGCTTATATTGAAGACAGTCTGACTAAATGACTGCTTCTGGAATAATCTGCTCTATGATGTAATAAAGTGGATAAGCTCCGCCTCCACAGAACATCGACTTCAATCCCCGTTTAGCTCTGTTAATATGCAAAACTGTCAGCCAATCAGAGCGGTGGGCATTTACTTGGTAGTAGGGCTGGGCGATTTGGCCAAAAAAAAAAATCTAGATTTTTTTAATAAAGTTTGACCGATTCACGATTTCGATTTTTTTTATTTTTTATTGTGTAACTAGGCAACTCAAAACATTACAACAACATGACATGCACATTCGCATGATATTTAACATGAAACTAATCAGATGGCGCTCTGTGGCGCGGCTGAAATATGAACTGCTACGTGAATCGTGGCTGGGCGGCGCCAGTGTGTGTATAGAAACCTGTTTAGAATTCTAAAATCCATGGCGCTGCCTGATGCTGCGCGGCGCCGAGAGGCGCTTCTGGTGTGCTTCCTGCTTCATACAGAGAGTGAACCAAAGCGCATTGGTGCCATTATAATGTATCAATTTTTTTTTTTTTTAGTTGCGATTTCTCGATTTAATATAAAATTAAATCGTCGTCAAAACGTAAATTCGAAGGAATCGAAAAAATCACCCAGCCCTACTTGGTAGTCTTCAATTAGCCACACCCATTAATACAGCATTCTGATGAGTCGAAAACAGGAGAGTAAATAGTCAATCACTTCTAAATTATAACTTTTTTACGTTTTTTTTTTTTTTTATTAACATAATAAGTGCATGCACTGGGGCGGTTTGCTGCTGAGTGTGACGCGGCTGGGATGACAATCAGCCTGAGGTCATGGTGCTCCACCGGAAAAAGGTGGTTTGCCATCTCCAGGTTGGAGGAAAGTCCTTACCCCAGGTGGAGGACTTCATGTATCTTAGGGTTTTGTTCATGAGTTGGGGAAGGATGGAACGTGAGATTGACAGGCGGATTGGTGCAGCGGCAGCAGTAATGCGGTCGACGTACTGGTCCATTGTGTTGAAGAAGGAGCTGAGCTGAAAGACAATCTATGGTCAATCTATGTTCCTACTCTCACCTATGGTCATGAGCTTTGGGTCATGACTGAAAGGACAAGATCTCGGATACAAACGGCTGAAATGAGTTTCCTTTGCAGGGTGGCATGGCGCACCCTTATAGATAGGATGAGGAGCTCTGACACCCAGGAGGAGCTCAGAGTAGAGCCGCTGCTCCTCCACATCGAGAGAAGTCAGCTGAGGTGGCTCGGGCATCTGTTTCGAATGCCTCCTGGATGCCTACCTTGGGAGGTGTTCCAGGCATGTTCCACTGGAAGGAGGCCTCGGAGAAGACCCAGGACACGCTCGAGGGACTATGTCTCTCGGCTGGCCTGGGAACGCCTCAGGATGTCCCCCGAGGAGCTGGAGGAAGTGTCTGGGGTGAGGGAGGTCTGGGGTTCTCTCCTAAGACTGCTGCCTCCACGACCCGTTCCCAGAAAAGCGGATGAGATGAGATAATAAGTGCACCTCAGAGAAGAATACAAAACAATATAAACTGAATTACAGTTCATGATCTCTTCAAAATGTTTTTAATGTGAAATGATCAACGTTTTACCTGACTTAAACAAGTGCTTTTTGCATTATTTACACAGGTCTGCAGACTGGAGCGGATGACAGCACTTTAAAGTGGTACAACAGCCTGCAGGATTTGGCCAATCAATGCGCTCAGGCTTTCGATGACCTCAATAAAGCCAAAGACACACAGGTGGAACAACCATTGCATTTTAATGGATATCCTATCAATGCGTTTGTACTGAATAATTACACTATAAAATGATTAGTTGACTTAAAGTGAGGAAACCCGTTGCCCTAAACTATTTTAACGTAATGAACCATGTGCATAACTCTAAAAATAAAATTAAATCAACTTTACAGTTACAAGTTACAATGGGTTTACTTACTTTTTAAGGTTTTATTTTATTGTTTTACTTTTTACAGTGCATGTTCTCAATTTTCGTGTGTTATGAATGTGTGCAGACAAAAAAAATTAAAATGGAGCTCCAAAAGGCTGCAACCACACCTGTGAGTCAGATCGCCAACAGCTCAGGTGAGACAGATGTGGAAAAACAGCTGCATGAAGTGGTGATGTGCTAAAATGTATTTATAGTTTTACAGATACTGACTTTCCTGTTGCTTAAGTAATAGTGCATGGGAATAGTAATGCCAGGGTTGTGTGTTGGAATAACGGAAAGCTAGAGCTGATAAAGTGTATACTTTTAATGCAAAATGTTGCTTAGGATAAGAGTATCTGCAAATAGAATAAAATAACAAAATTAAATAAGATATTAAATAAAATATTAGATAAAATATTTTATAAAATAAAAATATTATAATATCAAATAAAATTAAAAATATAAAATAAAAAATATGAAATAAAATGAAAAATATGAAATAAATAACAAATATTTGATAAAATTAAATAAAATATGAAATAAAATATATGAAATAAAATGTAGAAAAATTAAATACAATATGAAATAAAATAAAAAATATTAGATAGAATAAAAATATGAAATAAAATATGAAATAATAAATAAATATGAAATAAAATAAAAATATATTAAATAAAATATTTTATAAAATAAAAATATTAGATAAAAAATATATATATATTAGATAAAATATCAAATAAAATGAAAAATATAAAATAAAAAAATATAAAATAAAATGAAAAATATGAAATAAAATACAAAATATTAGATAACATATAAAAAATATTAAACAAAATAAAAAATATGAAATCAAATAAAATATGAAATAAAATATGAAATAATAAATTAAATAAATATTAAATAAATTAAAAAGTATAAGATAAAATATAAAAAACTAAAAATATTTTTAAAATAATTAAATTAAATATGAAATAAAATACAAAATATTAAATAAAATAAAAATATTAGATAAAATATAAAAATAAATTTTATAAATTTTAAATAAAAATATTAAATAAAATTATAAATATTAAATAAAATAATAGAATTAGATAAAATATAAATAAAATAATAAATATCAAATACAAATAAAAACTATTAAATAAAATAAAAAAATTAAACATTATATTAAATTAAATATTAAATTAAACGCAGTATAATATATAAATTAGTGCATGTAATAAAACTTTTTTTGATGTAAGATTTATCCAGATATCCCTTAAATACTGATTTGATTTTTACATTGATGAATGTTTGACCTCTTTGTTGAGGGGATATTATTTATTTATATATTTATTTTTACAATGAGAACAAGAGAGAATAAGAGAAACAATAGTACTAATAAATAAATAAAATTATAATAAGAATCAATAAATATAATGATAAAATAGTAAATAAATAAAGTTGCAAGGGAATAAACAAAACTAGATTACCAATTAAATAGCGGCAAATGTGTATTCTCAGATGTTACTTATTTTGATTTTATATACACAGGGTTTTTTATGGTTATAATAGTTGATTACTCTATAATTTGGATTTAAGTGCTCCTAATTTTATTTATTTATTTATTTATTTTTAATGCTCTTTTGATATTTATTTTATTTCTACTTTTTGGATTCTTATGCTCAATTGTTTTGTATATTCAGTGGTAAAGATGTTTGTGTCACAACACTTATAAACAATGAACTTAATGCAATTAAAATTGGAATAAAAAAAAAGAAGGTTGTAAGGTTACAATATGAAATATAAGGAGTTGCAAGTTGTATAAAAACCAACAACTGGCATATAAAGAGAATATATTTTTTATCAAATATATTAAATAAAAACATCTGATGTCTGCTGCTTGTCCTTTAACCCTGGTTTGCATCCAGGAGCTCCACTGAAGGAGGCCTTTGAGAAGATTGATAAGCTTTTATCAGGACGTCCCGTGACATCGGCTGGAAAGACAGTGTCTACATCCCAGCATCCTCAGGGGCTGGAGTTTGCCAGTTATAGACTGGCAGAGAAGTTTGTGGTAAGGCAGATGTTTGCTTTATGTTTGTATATTGTTAAAATTGACTACCCTTTAGTTATGTTGGTGGCTGTTTTTGCCCCATTGACTCCCATTATAATCACACTTTGATTGCAAGTCATGCATTCTTGATTGCTGGTTTATTTTTTCCTGTTGGGAAGAGGTTATAATTGATCATTTTTACTGTTGATCATGAGTTATCAGCATTGACCCTTTAGACAGGCCTGTGCCAAAAGGTTTCAGGCTATAAACAACAGATTATAGTGTGTGTGCAGAAATATACTTGCTATGTTTACCATATTCTGACTATCTGAGATGCTTATTTTTTATTTTCTCAAACATATCAAGATAAGTGTGAAACATCCCTCTCTCTCACATACACACACTCGTACACGCACTAGGGCTACGACAATATATCGTTTCGGCATCGATATCGCAATGTGTGTGTCACAGTAGTCACATCGCAGCATGTGCAATGTAAAAATTGGGATTATAGTCGGATTATAGTGGAGTCGTTGCAATGTATAACCATAACAGAGTGAAACATCCTCATTTGCTTGTATTTTAAAGACAAGTATAACGCATTCAGGCACTATAACGTAAAACATTTGTAATTTTAACCAAGAAAACTTTTAACAAAATAAGATTTGTCAGCAAAAATAATTTTACTTGCTGAAACACTGAGAAGATTGTGGCCAAATTAAGCCTCAAAATCCCCCCGGAATGGATGAAAATATCCCCAACAACACACAAAGGTTAAATATACAATCCACATTTTGAGTACATATAAAGTTGATTTTAATTACTCTTTCTCAGAAACAAGGAGAGGAGGAGGTTGCCTCTAATCATTCGGCTGCTTTTCCCATCGGCGCTGTGGCCTCAGGCATATGGGAACTCCATCCCAAAATTGGAGATCTTATACTCGCTCACCTGCATAAGAAGTGCCCGTATGCTGTGCCGCACTACCCACCCATGGAGAGTGGCACATCAGTGGAGGATTACCAGAAGTAAGTCTACTGAATCTACTGTATGAGAGGACTTTGACTAAATAAATTCTGACATTTTTTTATTTTACATTCACCACCTTCTGGTATGTCGAACCAGATCATTTAACTAAATAGGATTTGATTTTGTTAAGATTTTTTTAATTATAATTTTTATTTCTTTTATTTTAACATTTTTATTTATGCACGGTATGCGTTATGTGGATAATTAATCTTTTTTTTTTTTAGTTATACACTGCAAAAACCTTCTGGTATGTTGAACCAGATAATTTTATTTTAATGTATTTTTATTTAATTATTTTTTATACGTTCTTTTAATTTCTTTTTTGTTTGAATTAAATTTTTTAATTTTTAATAAAAAATTGTTAATACAATTTTTTATTTAAGTTAGTTAATTAAGTTAAGGTTAAAGTTATTTTTAATTTGTTTTATTTAATTGAATTATTTTTTTATATTTTAAATTAACTTTCTAATTTTATGTTTTATTTAATTTATTTTTATTTTGTTTTAATGTAATTTAATTTTAATTACATTTTTAAATATTTTATTTTAATTAATTTAATTTTTAGTTTTTTTGTTTATTTAATTAATTTTTATGTAATTTTTTTATGTTTCAAAAACATTTTTATAATGTTTTATTAGATTTTTTTAGATTTTTTTTATTTTGTTTTAATAAAATTTAATTTTAACTGCATTTTTTATTTTTATATTTAATATTTATCATTTATTTTATTTTAATATTTTATTTATTTGAATTTTTTTATTTAATGGCATTTAATTTATTTGATTTTTTTATATTTTATTATATTTTATTTAAGTTTTAGTTTTTTATTTAATTTATTTTTATTTAGTTTTATTGTAATTTATTTTTAATTAAATTTTTTTAATTTTATATATTTTTTATTAGTTTATTTTTGTTATTTTGTTTACTTTTGCTTAGTTTTAATGTAATCTAACTTTAATGAGATTTTTTAGGTAATTTAATATTTTATTTATTTAGTTTTATTTCTTTATTTCTTTATTTTTTATTTAATGTAATTTAATTTATTTAATAACATATTTTATATTAATTTTTTAATACTTAGCTTTTATTTTAATTAATTTTTATTTAGTTTCAGTGTAATTTAATTTTTAATTAGATATTTTTATTAAATTTTATTATTTTATATTAATTAATTTTTTGTTTATTGTATTATTTAATTTATTTACATTTTGTTTTAATGTAAATACATTTTTTATTAGATCTTTTAATTTACTTTTAATATTTTACATCAATTAACTTATTTTTTGTTTTGCGTCTTTATTTTATTTATTTTTATTTGTTTTATTTAATGTAATTTAATTAAAATATTTATATAATTTTAATTTAATTATTTTATTATTTACTCTGTCTTTTTGTAATTATTTTTATAATTCACTCAACAATGTTTAAGTCTAAATTTACAGGTATCATTCACCTAAAAATGATAATTGAGTTTGTTCCAAACCTGTTTGAGTAAAAAACATTTCTTCATTGTTCATGTACGTACAGATATAGCCTCAGATACACAATAGCAAAAAGCAATGGAAAAGCGCATAGAAAAATACATAAATACAGGGAATCTGATCATATCAGGCAGTAGACTAAGGTGTATGATGACTTTTTAATACCAAGAACTGAGACTTTCAATTCAAACAAGACGGCATTGTTACCTGTTCTCATGCATTTCAGAAAATGAGTAAATACACAATTGTATATAATTCATATGGATATAACATTTAGGCCTAAATATGTGTAAATCACTATAAATGTACTTTTGCCCATCAGGATCCTTGGATATCGTGTAGATGAGGGGAAAGTGGAAGGACAGGACAGCTTTCTAAAGAGAATGTCGGGAATGATTCGCCTTTATGCTGCAATAATCCAGATGAGATGGCCATACTCCAGCAAACAAGGGGTGTGTGGTGCTTCTGTCCATTAATATCACAATAATCAATATATCGATTGATCATGCAATACTCAGAGATGACCTCAAATCATGTTTGCCATTGCAATATAGATTTACAAATTCACAAATAACATTAAAGCCATTTTACAGTGACACCAGTGAGGTAGTCATAACTTCAATAACGGGGTCCTGGAGGGCCGGTGTCCTGCATACTTTAGTTTCAACCCCAATTAAACACACCTGAACCAGTTAATCAAGCTCTTTCTAGGTATACTAAAACTTCCAGGCAGGTTTGTTGAAGGAAAGTGGAGCTAAACTATGTAGGAGACCGGCCCTCAAGGACCAAGTTTGGACACCCCTTCTTTATAATCATGACAATGCGAATGAGTTTTTATACATGCTTTTGACACTTAATAACAGTTGTCGTAAGCATGAATAAGGTCTCATTCACATTCACGATGTGTTTCATGAATCATGATCATAAAGGTTTAATGTCAGACCCCTTCAAGTAGTGACCCAAAAATTAGTACACCCAAATTAATATGTTGTGGGAAAATATTAAATAAGATTTTAACGAACAGGGAAAATCACTAGAAACATAAAATATTTCAAATATAGGTGATTTTTTTTTGTTGTTGTTGTTGCAATAACTGAATTTAAATGTGTTATATTTCTATACCAAATAATAAAAAATAAAATAAAACTCACTTATTCAAACGCACCAAAATATGTTACCTATATTCATTGAGAAATGGAAACAAACGGGCGTACTCATTTATGCTGAGCACTGTATGTTATTTAACTGAGATTTTTATGACTCTGGTTTATTATAATGTGAATATGTGATCTAATTCTGGTCTGCATCAGCCTCATCCTCATGGTCTGAATCACGGCTGGCGCTGGATGGCACAGATCCTCAACATGGAGCCGCTGGCCGACATCACAGCCACTATTCTCTTTGACTTCCTGGAGGTAAATACACATTTCCTATATATATATATATACACCATTGAAGTCAAAATTTTTAGCCCCCCTGTTTATTTTTTTTCCCCAGTTTGTTTAACAGAGAGCAGATTTTTTTCAACACATTTTTACATTTCAACCCACAACTCATCTCTAATAACTGATTTATTTTATCTTTGCCATGATGACCGTAAATAATATTTGACTAGATATTCTTCAAGACACTTCTATACAGCTTAAAGTGACATTTAAAGGCTTCACTAGGTTAATTAGGCAGGTTAGGGTAATTAGGCAAGTTATTGTATAACGATGGTTTGTTCTGTAGACTATTGAAAAAATATATAGCTTAAAGGGGCTAACAATTTTGTCCTTAAAATGGTGTTAAAAAAATGTATAACTGCTTATATTCTAGCCGAAATAAAACAAATAAGACTTTCTCTAGAAGAAAAAATATTATTAGACATACTGTGAAAATTTCCTTGCTCTGTTAAACATCATTTTGGAAATATTTAAAATAAATCTGACTTCAACTGTAAATAAAATGTAGAGAGAGTGAGAAAATAACTGTATTTTTGTCATGTGTGTCTCTTTAGGTCTGTGGAAATGCCCTAATGAAACAATATCGCGTCCAGTTCTGGAAACTGATATTGATTATTAATGAAGAATATTTCCCGAGGTATTTATGCTTTGCTTCCATATTACACTTTACATGCATTCACTGGGTTCACAATATAGAATAAACGTCGGCGCCAATAGCCTAGTGGTTAGTGCGTCGACACATAGCTCTGAGGTGCTCGCAGCGACCCGAGTTTGATTCCCGTCTCGAGGTCCTTTGCTGATCCTTCCCCTAACTCTGCTCCTTACACTTTCCTGTCTCTATATCTCCACTGTCCTATCAATAAAGGTGAAAACCCCTAAAAAATAATTACAAAAAATAAAGAATATAGAATAAACCATTTATAATCTGAAAAAGAAATGAGCATAAACAACTGATATGAAGTGATTTTATGCAATTTATCTATTTGTTTACAGTATTTTATAGCGATGTAACGGTATCAGAATTTCACGGCACGGTTATACCTTGTTATGAAAGGCATGGTAGGGTATTTATTGAATAATTTACAGGAAAACAAAACTGATGAAAAGACTCGAAAAAAAGTGCCAAAAGTGTTTATTTACCTTAGCACTGAACATATTAATGACATACAAATTAGCCATCTATCTGTAAGCTTCGAAACAGGAACTTCAATTTATCAATTTTAATAACAAAAAACTATAAAACCATATTAAAAAAATAAAGTTTCAATTTAGTATTGTTGAAAACTCATCACATTCAACATTTAACCACTCACTCACTTAGATAGAGATGGGTTTTTAAGGAGAATTATCATATAACTATAATGTGGTAAAAGCTGGGATCTCTGGGCATGTCCCCTGCAACAGAATTAAAAACCCCTCTCATTTGGGACTGAGGTTTCTGGGACAGAGAGATATGATTTAGCCAAGGTTGACAGCAGTGGGTAACGTTGTGCATCGTCTTTCCACCACTTGAGAGGACAAACCATGAGTGAGCTAGAGGTCTCTTTGCGGTACAAGTCAATGTCTGCATCAATCTAACAAGTGTGCTGTGTTCTGCAGTCCCCATGACTGTTATTAGTCGTATTCCCCGACTTATATTTCACCACAGTCTGGCAGTGCCTGTATACCGTTTTTTTCTTTGTCACCTTTTCTTTTCTTCCTTGTTACCCAAGTTCCCGACTCGAGGTCCTTTGCCTACCCTTCCCGTCTCTGTGCTCTCAATACTTTCCTGTCTGTATCCTCCACTGTCCTTTCTAATTAAAGGTGAAATAACTCTAAATAAAATTATTATAAAAATGTATAAATAAATAAAAATAAAAGTTTTTTTTTATTTAGCTACTTGCCAAATATTAATAATTTAAAAATTTAAATTTAATGTACTAAAATAAAAATGAAAATTGTACATACCTTAATAAATATTTTTAAATTATTAAAACTTGAACAGAAGTAAACTTAAAATACAATTTAGACCAATTCAAATTATGAATAAAATTAACAATAAAATGATGATAAATAATACAAAGATTATAATGAATGATTAAAAATAATTTACGTCGGCGCAATAGACTAGTGGTTAGTGCGCTGACAAATGGTGCAGTAGCACTTCAGGGTGTCCTGAGTTTGAATCCAGTCTCGAGGACATTTCCAGTCCCTAACCCCCCCCGAGTTACTGATGTTCATTAATGCTATATAAATTTATCTTAAAAAAGCGGGAATCTCACGCGATGTGACAGTACAAAACAGTACTGCTGCTTCAGGATATTTCAGACGTATGGACACATATTGGATAAATAGAGCGAAGCCAGACCACACGCAACTTGATCTTCCATTGTTGTATGAATTTGATAAGAAGTGCGCAACATTTTCACGCTAGAAACATGTTTTATGCATGAATTTTACTGATATGCTGCAACGGCTCCTTTAAATATGAGATCAATGTAGCGAGTTTTGACGCTCTCGCCACAGGAGCTGAAGGCAGACAGCGTTGTCGCCAGGGCGGCCAGAGCGACCTTGGACGCTCTCGCCGCTTTCGGTGTGAACGTACGGTAATTAACTTTTGGTGATGCGTCAATATTTGCAGTAATGACTCTAAACCCCTCTGCTAGATAAAATCCTCAACATGTGAGTGATGTTAGTGAGACCAGCAGGGGGCGCTCAACCTGCGGTCTGTGTGGGTCCTAATGCCCCAGTATATTGACGGGGACTCTATACTGCTCAGCCGTCTATCTGATGAGACGTTGAACCGAGGTCCTGGCTCTCTGTGATCGTTAAAAAAATCCCAGGATGTTCTTCGAAAAAGAGTAGGGGTTTAACCCCGGCATCCTGGCCAAATCTGGCCTACTGGCCTCTGCCTATCATGACCTCCTAACCCTCCCCATATCATAATTGGCTTCATCACTCTGTCTCCTCTCCACCAATCAGCTGCAATATGGCTGCCGTCACTTCATCCAGGTGGATGCTGCACACTGATGGTGGATGAGGAGATCCCCCCCATTGTGTAAACGCTTTGAGTGTCTTGAAATTACTAAAAATGTAAGAAATTATTATTATTAATTATAAATCGGGAATAATGATGTGACGTCTGTTTAACATCAGAAAAAAATCTGCTTGATTAACTCATCAAGAACTGATATTAATAAGAGGAGTAAACCAGGCACTGATTGGTTGAACTGATTTTGTTTTATTTGGTCAGGATTGAGGCTGTGACCAGCGCTGGACAGATGGGCTCTGTTACCAGACTCAAACAGTTTCTAGAGGTAAGCGTCTGCAGAAAAGCACTATTTTATATTAGACATTAGTAAATTAAAAGAAATAATAATAGTTAATAGTCTCTTGTTGGCATATTAATGGCCAAAAGTCAAATGTGAAAAGGGTTCATAGCTTTGTTTCTCTTATCACTAACACACACACACACACTGCTTCTGTTCTTCCTCACATCCAGACGTCATTGAGAACCAAGCAGATTCCTGCTCCTAAGAGTGAGCTCGGCTCCGCCTTCTTCAGGTCCTGATTGGTGGAGATCATCCTGATGAGAGTCACTATAATCTACTCGGATTAAGTATAAACTGATGCCATTCTGTTGGTGAATGTTAGAGTTTATGCATCCAGATCATCATGCTGTCTTAATTTTTTATATGTGCATGAAAGTAAGTTTTAGTTTTTAATGCATGTGGTGTCTTAATGCATTGATTCGGTCTCAGATTGATCTTAATTCACCCCAAGCCAAGTTTATAATTTGCTTTAGACCAATGATTGTTGATTGTAATCTGCTTCCCGCAGACATAAGCCATGATGATGGAGGAGGATCTTGTGTGTACGCTAAGGTGATAGGATGAGATGTACTGTATATTGATGCAGATATTTATGATTTTATATTAAAGTAGTACACAAAGTGTCTTTTCAGTCTTTTAATGTGTTAACAAATCTGATTAATCTCGAAATGCCTTTTGTTTTTATATTTTTATTTATTCTTTAATTCTTTTCTTATTTTTTAAATATTTATTTACTATAATTTGTGTGTTTTTTTTAACATTTATGTGTGTTTGTGTGTGTCTACAAAATAAATGACCATGTGTACAGGGTGGGCCATTTATATGGATACACCTTAATAAAATGGGAATGGTTGGTGATATTAACGTCCTGTTTGTGGCACATTAGTATATGTGAGGGGGCAAACTTCTCAAGATGGGTGATGACCATGGTGGCCATTTTGAAGTCGGCCATCTTGGATCTAACTTTTTGTTTTTTTTCAATAGGAAGAGGGTCATGTGACACATGAAACTTATTGGGAATTTCACAAGAAAAACAATGGTGTGCTTGGTTTTAACATACCTTTATTCTTTCATGAGTTATTTACAAGTTTCTGACCACTTATAAAATGTGTTCAGTGTGCTGCCCATTGTGTTGGATTGTCAATGCAACCCTCTTCTCCCACTCTTCACACACTGATTTCAACACCGCAGGAGAAAGGCCAGCACAGGGCTTCCAGTATCTGTAGTTTCAGGTGCTGCACATCTTTTATCTTCACATAATATAAATACACAGTACATAACATTTAAAGCAACAAGTGAAAGAAATAACTTTTAAATTAGCATGTTGTCCAGCATTGCTATGTCTATATATAATAACTTGTATTTGATTGTGACTTTAACTTAATTTGATTGTAATTTAATAATATGCACCTATGAGCAATATGAGTTGCTTTGAAACAATTAATATTGTGAAAAGCGCTTTACAAATAAACTTAATTAGGATAGATAGATAGATAGATAGATAGATAGATAGATAGATAGATAGATAGATAGATAGATAGATAGATAGATAGATAGATAGATAGATAGATAGATAGATATGTCTACAGATAGATATGTTTAATTTTGTTGTTTACATGTGTGTGTGTGTGTATGTGTATATACACACAAATTTAATTACAATGTATAGATGTCTTTGAGTATGCTCAGGCAAACTTGAGCATAATTAAATTGCGTATTTATGTAAGAAACCATATAAATGTATTGTACATTTTCAGCATATGTATATTTAACAGATTATTGCTCAAATGATGAATCACAATGTACTTATAGCGCTCATTCATCCGGCCTGTAGGCGGCGCTGTCATCAGAACTCACTTATTTCCCTGCGACGCTCCGGTAGTTTTGCGTGCGTTTGTTTGTTTTGGCTGTAGGCACTTTAGAAATGTAGTTTGCTTATTTCGTTAGAACAGCTCTTAAACAACCATATTGCCTTCACAACAACACACTTAGACACAGTTTAGCTTCATATCTGAGTGGCGGGAAGTGTCGGTGTTGTTCTCCGGTTGCTGTGATGCAGTTCCCGGGGTGTTTGGCGGTGTGTTTCGCGCTCTGGCTCCGACTGGGGCTCTCCTGTCCCGGGCTGCTGCTTTGCCGGTCCTGCGGGCACGAGCTCGCGGAGGACACAGACCTGAGCTTTGTACCCAGCCGCATGGCGCTCTCGCACCGGAACGACACGGTAATCGGCGGGAAGCGCGTGTCCGTGCAGCTCTTCGAGAACCCGCACGGATTCCAGTTTGAAGTTGTAACTTTTCGGCGGGCGGATGTGCTGAAACACTGGCCGGCGGACCGACACTTCAGCTGGTACCCGGGACACTCGTGGACTGCCGCCACCTGTCCGCGCTGCAAAACACACCTGGGTGAGTGTTTACTCGACATAATAATATTCAATGTACTGTTAAACCGTTAACGTTACCACTTTACCAGAAATACTTTACAGTAACAGTATAACATGAATATTAATGTACTAATATGTAAAGATGTTTACTTGACAGATATATCTAATGACTGTTAAACCCGTAACACTTTACAATCTAACTCTAACGTTACTGTAAAACCATTAACGTTAACACTTTACAATAACAGTAGCGGGAAACCGATAATTATTTACAGTAACAGTAACGTTACATGAATAATGATGTACTAATATGTAAGGCTGGGTGTTTACTCCTCATACAACTGTCCATATTACTGTTAAACCTGTAACACTTTGCAGTAACAATAATTTTACTGTTAACGTTAACACTTTACAATAACAGTAACAGGAAACCGGTAATACTTTACAGTAACGTTACATGAATAATGATGTACTAATATGTAAGGGTGGGTGTTTACTCCTCATATAACTGTCCATATTACTGTGAAACCTGTAACACTTCAGTAACAGCAATGTTACTGTTAACGTTAACACTTAACAATAACAGTAGCAGGAAACCGGTAATACTTTGCATGCAGTAACAGTACATGAGTAATTAATATGTAAGGGTTGGTGTTTACTTGACAGATAAATGTTCATATTATTGTTAAACCTGAAACACTTTACAGTAACAGTACATTGAATAATGATGTACTAACATGTAAAGGTGAGTGTTTACTCGTATAAATGTTCGTTAAACCTGTAACACTTTACAGTAACAGTAAAGTTACTGTTAAATCGTTAGCGTCAAAACATTACTATAACAGTATCGTTAAACCGGTAATACTTTGCACTGTAGTAACAGTACATGAATAATGATGTACTAATATGGGTGAATGTTTACTCGACATGTAAGTGTTCATTTTACCGTTAAACCTGTAACACAGGGGCCACCAACCTTTTGGTAACGGAGAGCTACTTCTTGGGTATCGTTTAATGTGAAGGGCTACCAGTTTGATACACTTCCTAAAAACAAATTTGCTCAATTTACTTTTAATTATATGTTTTTATTAATAATTAGCGATATTCATCTATGTGAAGACACTGACCATGTTAATGATTTCTCACAATAGTTGTCAACATTGATTGGAAACAGATAAATATCAGGATGCAACACTTCATTTGTCTGAAAATGTTTTTAAAGTTTTTTTAAATATATAACTTAATGTCATTTTCAATTTTACACCAATGCAAGTGTCATTTAAAAAGAATAGCTACAAAAAAATATTAGATGCAGTTTATTGGTATGTGGTGCAATGGTAAGCTAATTTTATAACAGGCCCACGGGCAACTCATTTGATCCTAGCCCGCGGGCACCACGTTGGTGACTCCTGCTGTAACATTTCACAATAACAGTAATATTACTGTTAAACCGGTAGTACTTTACAGTAACAGCACCTGAATATTAATGTACTAATATGCAAGGGTGTTTAATTGCCAGATAAATGTTCTTTATGCTGTTAAACCTGTAACGTGTTACAGTAACAGTAACGCTACTGTTAAACAATTGACGTTAACACTTTACATTAACAGTAACGTTAAACCGGTAATACTTTGCAGTAACTTTACATGAATAATGATGTACTAACAAGGGTGAGTGTTTACTAATGGAAATGTTTGTTAAACCTGTAACGCTTTAAAGTTACTGTTAAATCATTAGCGTTAACACTTAACAATAACAGTAACATTAAACCGGTAATACTTTGCAGTAACTGTACATGAATAATGATGTACTAACAAGGGTAAGTGTTTTCTAATGGAAATGTTTCTTAAACCTGTAACGCTTTAAAGTTACTGTTAAATCGTTAGCGTTAACACTTAACAATAACAGTAACATTAAACCGGTAATACTTTACAGTAAGAGTACATGAATATTAATGTACTAATATGTAAGGGTGAGTGTTTACTCGACCGAAATGTTCGTATTACTGTTAAAGCTTTAAAAAAATACCTGAACATTAAACTATAAAATGCTTTCTTTCTGAAAATTAATCAATTTGACCAAAAAACATTTGTATTTTTTACAGAATTTTACACAAAATAAATCTGACTGTTATTAGGGTTTAAACAATTCAGTACAATTCTCTTCTGTATTATTTAGGCTACATGCAGTATTTTAAAATCAATCTGTGAACAAAAATGTTATGGGAACCAATGACTGCACAAATTCAAAAATCAAAACTAAATACCCTCCCCAACCCATTCACATACAATCACTCTGAAATCGAAGTGGTTTAACGTGATTATTTCTCATCCCTGCTGAAGGTTGGGCATTTCAGCCCAGCGACTGGCCCCGGACAGTGACTCGAGAAGAGTTCGAAGGCTCGGACCAGACTTTTGTGGCACTCATACTTGACAGACTCCTGCAGGAACACTTTGCGTCCACACTGCTGATCACACCCAAATCTTTTAGAAGTTGACGACTAGCCAGACCTCACTTTATGCTCTTTAATAAAGATATTTGTATGAGAATTATTATATAAGACTAGAACGCCTGGCTTTATTTCCGACTGACCCAAAGGAAATTAACCCCCTTGTGTTTTGTTCAAATTAGGATTCCCTTATGTTATGTTAGTGGCTGTTTTTATGCTGTTGACCTCCATTATAATCAGATTTTTGTTGACTGCAAAGCTTTGACCTCATATTATCATGCATTTTTCATTGTGGGTGGTTAGAAGAGGAACCATTTTTACTGTTGATCATCAGTTGGCAGCATTAACCCTTTAGATAGGCCTGTGCAAAAAATGTTTGTGGCTTTTATATGGAGTTCTGTGGAGTAGGGCTGCACAATATTTAGTTTTAGCATCGATATTGCAATGTGTGAATCTAAGTCATATCGCAGGACATGCAATGTGGAGTCAGGATTATAGTTGACCAGGTATAACTGCGAACACATGGAGTCATTTAAGTTTAACCATATTAAAAAAAGTGAAAGTTTACCTGTGTAAACATTGTAAGCGAGTTTAAAGCATTTGGGCACAAGGAATTATTGCGTTTGTAGCTTTTACAAAGATTAAGAAGGCCAGGTAGGGTTCAGGTGGTTTGAAAGACCCCTCACTGACAAAAATCCAGAATTTGTCCCATACATGAGCTCTTTTGTACTATTTTGACTACTGTGCCATCATAAATGGTGAAAATTACTCCTCCAAGAAGGCTTTAAGATATAGAAG